CGTGAGGAAAACGGCCTCTTCCATTCCTTCTCGATCTCTGTATGGAGATCAGGAAGAAAGGAAGGCTCACCTGAGCTTGAGGGTTATGGCCAGAAAGATAACGTTCATCGAGATGACCTTGCGACGTCCCTTTCTTTGCCCGCTTCCACGGCAAGTAAGCCTCGCCGTGGTGCGATCCATAACTTTCAAAAAGCTCATTATACGCAGGGCAGGAGGATTGGGAAGGCTCAGCCTCAGTTCCTTGCCCTCCTCAGACATTTCCTGCTCTTCCTGGGCTGAAATCAGCAGAGCACTGGCCCCTGGTTCAGACGATGTTATGAAATAACATCATCCTCCAGCAGTTCACTCTCGTCCACAGCCGACGATCGCGAGATGGAAATCCCCTCTTTAAACTCATTGGCCAGATCCACCTGTGATCCCCACGAGCTCATTCTCCTCTGTGCCTCGCCAGCGGCGGGTCCTGAATCGCGGGATGCAGATGGCTGCCCCTCTTTCCTCGAAAAGAGAGACAAACAAGAGCGGAGCTTGATCGGAGCAGATTGACCCCTCGAGGACATCGCGTGCATGCTCTTCGTTCAAACAAACAACGCATAGATTGTGTGTGTCATCAGATGTTAAATAACAACGACACGGATGCACACTCCTCTAAACGCTTTGCTAGTGCTCGCCATAATGATATGAATAGAGATTGCTCTTACCACAGAAATGCATGCTTCAATCAAAACAGTCAATGAAGATGAAGACGAGGATGATGTGTTCTCCCGGCACCTATTTATACTATAGTCGCACCGGTAGTGACGTCATGGCTGTCGCCGGCCAACGTGTTGTTGGTGTTTTTTTCAATGTATGCTTCAGACACGGGTCACGACGAGGCATTCCCCATAGCGACCCCAAGAGGACGCAGTTCGAAGTTCCCTTGAAAGGGAACTTTAAATTTAGTTTAAGGCGACGTACATAGAGACGACGTATATATCAGGCGTCTTGTAAGGCGACGTACCTAGTTCAGACGTACTTATCACATGTACATTTTTTTAATGAATTTCTTACGTACGCCATCGTCACGTCGCTGCCTGTGATTGGTTTCTACTATGACGTCGCCATGACGTCATTGGAAAGTGACTTGTCTCTCTCGTCTGCTCTCCCTATCAATCCCATTCAAAAATTGACACGGACTGACGGCGACAGAAGGGTAGACTGCTCCTTCTCCTGCTAAGCCTTCGATCTGTCACATTACACTCGCCATAAATAATGTTAAAAAACAGCTGCTTGCACTCCTGTTCAATGTTCGCTTCACGCTGGCCAACACTTTCATTCACAACGTAGTCTTGAAGAGACTTGCTGGCCTGTCGCTGCCGTTTCGGAGGGGTAGGAACCGCATAATCTGCACTCATGCTTTCAGCCCACAGTTTCACAAACTCTGCATCCGATCGTAGACTTTCAATGCAAGAAAAAGCGCTGCGAATGAGACAAACTGCCGTCATTAGATCTGTTTGTTCAGCTTGCAGCATCCTATTTGGTGGATCCATCAGGCCCAAAACTTTGTACATCACACATGAAAGAAATTTGAAAGTTGGTTCTGTGATGGCCTTGTGAAGTCCAACAGCTTCAAGTTTTACATTAGCACCTTTTCCTTTGGTTGCGATTTCATTCAGAAAATCCACAAGCGTGTTGTGCGATTTCAGCACCACGGACACCGTATCAAGGTGGCCAGTCCATCATTGATCCAGCAGCCTTTTAAGCTTCTCTCCCCTATACTGTGCAGCTACAGTGGGCTTTCTCAGAAATTTGTAAAGCGCATTGCAAACATCAAAAAAATCTCCAACAGCACTCTCGGATGAAACGGCATGCAATATGACCAAATGTAACTGATGATTAAACCAATAGATGTACGGCACTTCTCTGTTTAATTTGTTTTGAATATGTTTCTGCATGCCTCCTTCTCTTCCAGACATGACGCTGGCCCCGTCATAACACTGACTTAGTATTTTATTTGTATCGAGACCAACATCTGACAGCTCTTCAAGCACCATGTTAGTGAGTAACAGGGCATCACACTTGTCTGTGGTCAATATTGACAACAGCCGCTCTTTCACTGTGCAGTTCTGGTCTACATATCGAAGAACAATTGAGATATTCTCACTACCCGTTGGATCCTTGGTTCCGTCCACTTTAATTGTAAACCATGACTCTCCAACATCTTTCACAATTTGCTCTGTCATGATTGTACTTATCAATTCAATTAAATCATTTTGAACATCGTGTGACGTGTATGTAGCATTTTTTGGAATTGTACTGAAGGCCTAGGCTAGCTCTTTGTTTTTTCTCAACATGTAATCAAATAGAGACAGGAACAGTCCACTGCCTGCTTGGCCTCTGTCATCATCAATGGAATCAACTGTACCCCTCAGTGGCAGTTTGTTTGAGACCAGGAATTGCAGACACATAAAGGCAGTTTCGAGAAAGCTGATCAGAATTGACTAGGGTTGAAATCTCCTTTCCTGTGGAACATCGCAATTGCTGCTCTTTCCAAATAGCCATGCATGCCAGATGCTCTTTACTGTTAGCATGTCTGTAAAATCCCTTTGCTTTATCTGCCGCGTGCTTTCAACTGCTAAAACCAGTACTTGAAAACACAGAATCACTCATGCCGAATCTGCTTGCTCTGAATATTCTAGCCATTCCCTCTCATTGTACCGATTCAGCGAAAATGACCACTTACAGTCATATTTATGTTGTTGTTTCTTTGGAAACTGCTTGAGATGAACCTGGAGTGGCTTGTCTTTACTGAGGTCCTCTGGCACACTTGACGGTGATGGTAAGTCCTTGCTTTTGGCGGGCTGAGTGTTTGTCAGTGGCGTAAGCGGGCCTGCACTGTCAGGCTATGTTCACATGTACACGGGTAGTTTTTCCTTCTTCCGTTTAAAAAAAATCTCTGTCCACATGTAATTGCAAACGCACGCTATGAAGCACTTTCAAGAGCATGTCAAACCAACAGGTGGCGATATAATCTCAACGGTAAAGCCATGTTGGCCAATCAGAAGCCTGAAAAAGTTTCCAGGCGGAGATAACAGCGCAGGCTCCGACGTCACATGCCGTTTTTTGAAAATCTTCACCCTGGCAGGCGTTTTCAAAAATGTTCGGTTTCAGTGACCTGGTGCTGCGTTTACGTGTGGACAAAAAATGGCCAAACCGCGTAGAAAAAGCCGCGGTTTTAAAAATAACCGCGTTCGTGTGGACAGGGCCTCAGTGCCCACACTGCTTATTTGGAGCTCAGACCCAGAGGTCTTTTTAATCCATTTTCGAATGTCCATGGTGAAATTATGGAATGTTCGTAGCCTTCGTGTTTGCTTTCCGTAGTGCAAGAAATTTTACGTAATGTTATTAGGGTTGGGGAGCACGCTTAATCAAGCGACCAATCAAAATTTGACCTTGCCTAACAGGCTGTCCTTAACTAAAATATTGCTATTTTAGCATATTATTCACTCTAGGAAGACAGTACACTTTAAATTATTTTATTTATTGTGATTATTTTATATAGCACATTTTATCATTAAATTTAACATTAATTTAACATTAATGGTGATCTGTGGGGGCGGGATAGTGCCGGTGAGGGGGTGACTCAATGGGCAGAGTAATACAGTGTTTACTCAAATCAAGGAGTGAACTAATAAGAAATGACAACAGCAAATACGACCTGGATCTTCGTGCAGCATGCAGGATAGTCAATGCGCGTTTCCATTACAGATTTGCGCAAAACTTTGGCGATATTTTCTGAATGTCGATAAAAAAGTATTGCGAAATGACAGCGTTTCCATTAACCAATGTTATGCAGCTAAAATGTAACCTCTCGCGATAAGTCATGGCAACAGATTTTGGTGGAATTTTGGCTATATTTATTCAAAGGAGGCTTATTGGTGTATCTTTACAGAAGCAGCAAAGAGAGCCGCTTCAGAAACGTGCGTGGCGCGGCTGTAATAAACCATAGACTGTATAAAAACATAAACACAAGCATTGAGTGGCCGCAATCAGCTTCAGTGACCGTATCAGAACCACACTGCACCGCATACGTGTGCAATGTAAATTGTCTAAGTATTAATAGTAGGGAAAGCCCCTTATACTGGAGCGCGGCCACTTATGAAGTGTTTCTTCTTGGAGGTTATAGTACACTGAAGAATGATCATATGACTTTTTACATACGCCATGTGACCTGTAAATGCGAAAAAGCCGTTTCCATTGCAGTTTTGCGAATTAATCCTTTTTCGCATTGCCTGAAAAACCACCTCATGCAAGCGCAAAAACTTTTTTGCGATATATGGGCGTTTTTGCGAAATTGACGCGTTTCCATTAAGCGTATTTTCAATTCGCAATTTCAATTTGCGCAATTTGAAGGGTAATGGAATCGCGCCTAATGTAATGGGAATTTAACAGCTTTATTTTGCCAACTGGCAGCTTTATTCTTAACCCTGTGGAAGTCTCGACAGTTTGGACGAATTCAATTTCTGCTTATAGAGAATGAGGAGTTACATCACGATCTTTTAACTCCGCATTGCATTTCGGGAAGGCGCCGCCATATTAGCAGGATACGCTATCCGTTCCCATGGTTACTTCTCATTCTCTATAAGGATAAGTGCTTATCTTTTGTTTTGTTTTTGCCTTTAAGTTAAACAACCATTCATTCTTCATTGTATCGTTTGCAGGGAAGAGAAGCTATACGGCGTTACGTCACATTCTCATTCTTTATTACTTTAAATGTCGACAACGCTTCCATGTAGGCTCATTGGTGCTTGCTGAGTGGAACATCGAAAAATATTCAGTAAAAAACGAACTTGTACAACGTTACGAAAAAGTTCTCTTTTCTTATTGGCTCTGTTCTATGCTAATTCCTGTATATGTGCTTAACTGAGGATTAACTAACCTACCGCTCAAAATAGGTGTCTTTCTATAATAGGTATTGAACTGAAGGTTTATCATGTGCGCTAATAAGTGACTATTAGGAAGATGTTATTAGTGGCCTGAGCACTAGTTGTGTACTGGCTAGTTAACAACAGTTAGCCTGTTAGCATTAGTGTAAAAACAAATGATGGAGGATACAGACACAGAGGTGGATGTTAAAGTAAATCACTGGATTAAATCACAACTTGTTTTCATGTGGTTACAATGACAGGTAAATCTCATCCTAGTGTTATGTTGTCACTTGTAATGTTATTTATACTTGAAGATTATTTGCATGTAGCAAAGCAGTATTGTAAAACATTCTTCTGCTAATTATTATTCATTTGTCATTTTATTTCATAGACTAGACTCGTAGAAGAGATGAAACCTAAGTCTACTTTTCCTTTGAGATGAACAGGTAAACTCTCAGATTTACTATAATTTTGTTAGCAATATAATTGTGTTACTGTCCATATCATCTTTCTAATGCGTGTTTGATTTGTTGTCGAGGAGGGACGTTGGTTAGAGGTGGAAATGGCTCACGCTTTAGGCGGATCACAGGAGGGACAGACTGACACCAAAACAGACACACACGCTAGCAGTGCCACGTTCACCTTTTAATCTTTTTTGTCTAGTGGCATATTGTCTTTAAAAGAGGATACTGTCACTAATACCAACTTTATTACTGTTAACAGGCTTTTTTATTCGTTACTTGCTGAAATGGAATTTCCTCTATTATAGATCAGTGACTTTTCTACATTTTCTTTGCTTCTATTTTAATAGCTTTTAAAATGTAATTCATCAACTCTTTTCCTACCGAGCCTTGGCCTACATTTTAAATTATAGGAGGCACTTCTGGTGTCCTGACATTTTATCCTACCCATCAGATTTTCCTACCAGGGTTTACTGCCCGTGCGCACATCATGCTGAACAACAATATTGAATGTATCTGCATTACTGTAAGGGTAGGTTTAGGGTTGGGGTATGTGTAGACTTTATTAAGACACAATCTAATAGGTACAAAAATTTATTTATTGTTGGTTTCCTGTAATTCTATCCCTTCTAGCTACAACTGTGAATATAGCACATACTTACTGTATTTGCATTACTGTAAGGGTATGTTTAGGGTTGTGGTAGGTGTAGATGTTAATAAACCATAATTTTACAGTTAGCATTTTTCGTGGTCGAATTGTATTACCCACTGTTTTAATGGGAGGTAGCAAAATCTGACAGGGTAGCACAAATCGACAGAACTTGGGAAGTTCCATTCGAAAAGACTGAAACAAATGATTATGGCCCAATGTTAATGAACATTTTTGATTAAGTCAACATATGTTACGTAATATAAACGTATATTAGGCTACTGCTGTAATATTTAATACATCTGCAATATTGCTGAGGAAATACTTGAGCTTTTTGGAGTTATTCATGGTAAGCTAAAAGTAGTTTGTTAATGCTTTTACACTTTTAAATTTCCTTTCAATTATTGATGGTTGAAGGGTGAGTAGAATAATGTCACCCTGTGCCCAAAACTCTTTTTGCATTCATAGAACGAACCTTTCACTGATTGTTTATAGTGCAACAGAAGTTACTTCCATAATTTGTGCGAAGCATCATTGGTGAAGTGAGTGACGTGACATGTGGCCAAGTATGGTTACCCATTCTAGGAATTAGTGCTCTGCGTTTAACCCATCCTAAGTGCACACACACCGTGAACAAACACACACCCGGAGCAGTGGGCAGCCATTTATGCTGCAGTGCCCGGGGAACAGTTGGGGGTTTGGTGCCTTGCTCAAGGGCACCTCAGTCGTGGTATTGAAGGTGGAAGAGAGCGCTGTACATTCACTCCCCCCACCTACAATTCTTGCCGGTACGAGACTTGAACCCACAACCTTTGGGTTATGAGTCCGACTCTCTAACCATTAGGCCACGACTTCCCCTAAATTGGAAAAAGGTGGATAACTGTAATGGCAATGCTGAATTTTTCACAGCCATTACTCCAGTCTTCAGTGTGACATGATCCTTCAGAAATCATACAAATATTCTGATTTGGAGCTCAAGAAACATGTCTTGCTATTACCCATGCTGAAGATTTTGTTGTGCTGCTTAATGTATTTGTAGACTAGAAACAGGGAGCATTTTTTTCTCTCACAATTTTCCATTTTTTTTAAATAATGTAAAAAAGAAAAAGTTTCCAAGAAGCTCTGCTTCATGTGTGCCTAATGCTGCCTCTTAGGTCTTCTAAATTTACCAAAATATTAATTTACTGTAAACCACAGGGCTTATTGCTTTTATAAAACAGTTAGCATGCACTTAGCCCACCTATTAAGTCAAAATTCTCAAACAAGATCAAAACATTTTAAAAACAATTTCTCTGGTGCAGTAATAGTGATAGCAAGCAAGCTTGCTAAGCAAACACACAGATGTGTTACCGCAGTAAAACTGATGTAATGAGTATGTTTCTATAGTAATTTACAATGGCTTCGAATTTCGGCTCAACCAATCATAATCAAGGACCGGAACAATCAGTTTTATGTTTTTTTTGACAAATTTAATGCAACATTGCTAAATTTTCTTACAAATAAATAAACCTTACTGACCCCAAACTTTTGAACAGTAGTGTACTCATCATTCATTATTACAGTATTACGTTTTTCTACATTTTGGAATAATTGTAAAGTCTATGAAACCTATGAAAGACCACACATGGAGGTAGTGACCAAAAAGTATAGGATTAGAAATCTTTTTTTCTCTTTTCGGCTGCTTTTCCTTCACTGTCCAGTCTAACTAATCCTTAAAAAAAAATCTGTTTTATTAAGATAAGTTACGCTTAATTTTTACACTGTACTTGTTACACATCTTACTGGTACTTACTGGTAGTAATAACAGTAAATTATGCTAAATAACAAACTAACCCTCAACCAAAACCTTAACCTTAATCATCTTGTAGTAAGTGCATGTTGTTAATAAATATGAATTTAAAATAAAGTATAACCATTAATAATTAATAAACAAGAGAGTTCAAGCATGTAAGCAGAAGCCCGTATTCACAAAACATTTTATCTTAACACTAAGAGTTCTCCTAAATAGCAGTAAAAGTTTTTAACTAAGCGTTTTCTCTTAAAACCTATTCACAGAGCTGCTGAGACAAACATTTAGTAAGGAATAGAGAGAAGTCTTAAGCTAAGAGTAAGGGCAGGGTTGACCTCGTTGCTATGGATGATGTCAGCATGCTTACTAACTATGCACACAGTGATTGGCTGATAGTGGAGGGGTCTCTGTCAGAGATTTATTCATAGAAATATTGTAGAGCGTGATATTATGTTGCCGTTTTCAAATAAAGGTTTAAAAATAAAAGTGTTAATTGCCACCTTCAAATAAAGATTTTAAAATGCAGGCTAAGTGTCACTAAATAAACAAGTATATGTTCAGCTACTTGTTAGCCTCTTACATGTGTGCTTCTCATAAACAGTTAGTGGATATGCATATAAACAGCCTTTTAATTAACCGAGTGGAATAATCATGGCTGATAGTAATACTGTACATGCAAATGTAAAAGAAAACCAAACTGGACGCAAAACAGCTGTTACTTCTTGCCCAACTTGTTAATGAAAACAAGGATATAATCAAAGGAGTTGGGATAGCCTCCAAAACCAAAAAAAGATGCATGTGAAAACATATGTGTGCTAATAAATGCAGCATGTTTGTAAAATGTTTACGTTCAGAGGCAGATTGCCTGCAACAGCCATTTTAGGATAGTTTGTGGCTTGGTCTTAGTGACTTAGGAGTCATCTTCACTTTTTCACAAATCAGCATTTGCTTTGTATTCTGACATTTCTGATCCCAAACAAAAAAAAAGGACAGTTCTGTTGGTGACAGTCCTGAAAATCAATGTTCTAATAATGAACAGGTGAGACCCAATGACTTATATTTTCATACACACCAGGATATTGCTGAAATAATTTACAGCATGTTATTTCCATTCTTATTATCGTCACTGCACATCAGTGAACATTGATGTAAATTTCTTTCTAGAATTTGAAATGAGGAACCAAGGTGTCCTCACTCATATATATATTTTTTCACTAATCTTTTTTTTTTTGCTGTTTTTCACAGAGGATGCAAAGTGACTGTTCAGAAATTCTTCCTGAAGAATATATTTCAAATTACAAATATGATGGTAAGTTTTGTGTTTAGCCTTCTTGAAAATTCAGTTGTGTTACATAAATATATATGAGAAGATATATATTTATGATATATTGTGAAGATTATTTTACAAACAAAATATGCAAGAATCAAAACCTTTTATAGCTCATTATTAAACAACTAATGGCACATTCCATAAGTTGGGTACACAATGGACTCCAATTTTTTTAAGCAATAGAGGCAAAGAGCATTTCAAGCATATTTGATATTTTGAGGCAATTTTAGAACACATATTAGCTGTGTCCGAAACCGCTCCCTATCCCCTATATAGTGCACTATATCTGGTGTGGGCCATTTTGTAGTGTCCGAATTCTTGAACGAGTTCATTCCCTACATTTGTTCACCACTTTTTACCCACAATCCTCTCTGATTTTGAGTGTACAACTGATGTGCACTTACTGAAGCACTATTTCCTATAATCCAATGTGGACAGGACTGATGAGCTGGAATAGATACTGGGAGCTAGTTTGAATGAGAGGTAATCAAAACAGATTACAACTTTCTCATTTCTGCTTTAATGTTTATTTCATGCATTATTATTATTAAAATATATTATTTAGGCATTAACTCCGTAATTTACTGAGGTGGTGGTGTTGTTAACTTGCAAGAGATGATAGAGATGTGGTGATAATTTGGTGGATGATTTAAAAAATAAATATTCGTTAATCACAGCAGGTAGCGTATTCATCCTAATGTGAAATTAATGGGCGCCTGAGGAAGCTCTAAGACCATTGTCATCTTAGTACAAAATAATGCTCGGGAGAGTTTCAAGATACTAAAAATAATAAATACAGGAAATGTATGTGTATATGTAATATGTGTTTATATTTGTTGCCAGTATTTTAATAATGTTTAATTATTATGAACTTAAGCATTACAAAACAATAATAATACCATCGATGAAACTACAAAGCTTGCCCTGAGGTATGTATAATTACAATATAAAGTCATTGTGAGTGTTTTTGTTAATATAATTTCCTAAAATAAGGTACATGTAATAAAAGTACGTATTTGACAAAGATGTTTCTGTGACAGCTCCAGCTCTGTCGCGTAGCGTATACATCAGTGTCCCAATTCATTCACTCTTTTCTGATATAGTGCACTCAACTGCCATATACTATATAGGGATTAGTGAATGAGCGAACGAGTGAGCGATTTTGGACACAGCTATTGTTTTTATTTGTCTTGCATCTCCTAGTAATGAAACACATATTTCTATGAGTTTGATGTTAAGGCCTGATAGTATATAAAAGTCTTCAGTCATTTAGTGTATGATGCCCAGTTTTTCTTCTGTAACCTTTTACAAAGCCTGCAAGTGAATGATGCCTAGTGTTTTAAAGTCTGTTCAGATTTTAAACATTGTTTAGTGCAATCAAGCCTTCACTGAAAG